TGAAAATATGTCCAAGTAATGTCTTTACAGTCTAGTTTGTATAAAATTCCTCTTCCCTGAAATGAAGGAATGTACCAGATTTCAACATGGATTGGTAGCATTTGCTTTTATAAATTTGTCACTTCTGGGTCCTTCAAGGAAATGAAGCCAGGTGACAAACCTGCTCCTAAATTCAACTTACACTGTACATTCTCATTATGTAATGGCCATTGTACAAGACTACAGTTATACTTAGACTGCTTTCATCTCAAGTTACACTGTTGCTGGTGTTTATCTGTTCATAGCAAATATAGTGAACCTTGTCAGTCCATAAGATGTTCTCTAGACCAGCATTTCTTAACCTTTTCTATACCAGAAACCAGCTCATTGCCTCCCTAAACTGTTGTGGGTCACTGATTTACATACAAATATTCTGTCAATTTTTTTGATTTATTTGTTTTTGTGAAATTCTATGGACAGGCAAGACGATTGAGAAACGCTGGTCTAGACAAGCATTGGTAATTTCTTCTCAAACCAGGGATTAGAGTGCAAAGTCTCAAATATTTGTGTGATCTACTTGTAGCAATTCAAGAGTAACCTCTTAATCTATGGGGATACAGTCTCAGTGTCTTACTTATGACCTTCTGTTTTATTGACTGTACGAGTCTAGTGTGCTTGCCAACTTGACTAGTTACTGAATTCCTCTTGAGGGTTTTCTTCTCTGATAATAACCACCATTTATATCTAACTTTTACCACAATTTTAAAGGATGGCATGGGGCATCATTGCATCAACACCCAGTCATATTTGTTTTTTAATCAGTTTCCAATAAGTCTCATTGTTGCATGATTTTCTTCTTTTTTGCCTTTTCACATTAAAAGAATCTTGATGCTGTAACTGTAGTACTTTGAATGAACAATAGGAACATTCAGAGACAACTGCTGGTTTTATACAGTTCCCTGTATGCAAATTTCATGATAAGTATTCCCTGGTGATCGTTACATTTGTCACTGAAACCACCTTTCCAATTCTCTTTTTGCTACATAAACCAAGTATTATATTTTTTTATTTATGAGTTATGGATGATAGAATAGGTCAATTAATTTAATGATAATTATTATCTAAGTTTCCATTACATTTGAAAATGTTTTTAAGCTACAAAGCTGTTAACATTTAAATGTTTTTATAATATTCCTGTACAATGTTTTCTTTCAAAAGCATGGATCACTTAATATGTGGCATTGTCGTCCAACACTGTTTTTTAGAAATGTTGAAAAAAAAGTACAGTTTATAATACTTGTATCAATTTTAGCAGGAATGAAATGCATTTATGTGACATTGATACACACACGTTGCTTACACTATTGCATGTTTTAAAAGCAAAGATTTAGGTGGTTTATAAATTTCATATGTATGGTTTCCTGAATATAAATTGTGTATTTATAGTCTAAATATGTAGCAGATACATTGAAATGTCCCATAATATACTTGTACATTCAAATTTTATCAGGAGTATCTTAGTGACGATGAAGACCTTGAAGTTGAAAAAGAAGAACCACTAGATATAAAATTACCAAAATATCCTCCCAGGAGAGATGATTCAGGAATAGACATTTGTTCTTATGGAAAAGGAAAATCATCTTCTCCAGAGACTCCTGAAATAGACTCTACTTTTTCTCTTCATTGTACATCTGGATATTCCTGGTTGACTCAAAACATCCAACCTTCATACTGGTCCAAAGCTTCAGTCCAGCATTCAGAACCTCTTAGTAATTCCTGGGTATCAAATTTTGTTAAAGAATGGTAATGTAACAAACTTTCAATATAGAAAGAGTTGTAAATTTTTGGAACCAAAATGCAACAATAGTATAATTGTGTACCATCATATGTTATCAGTATAGTAAGATTTACACTACTATAGTAGCAGAATATATTTATTTTAATCAAGAATGCTTGCTGTTTACTAAAACGAGCCATTATAAATAAAAAAATAACTTACAGAATTAATACAAAAATATATTTCAATGTTTATCACTCACAAATAATTTTGTTACTCAGTTTTTGGGATAAGGAATAATGAGAGTTGGTCTTAGGGAAAGAAAAGGTTGATATAGCAACAAGCTAAAGATGATAAACACAAGCTATGACTGGAATTTCTTTTTCAGATATAAGTTGTCACATTCCTATGATGTTCATTCTTGTCTTTCTGGAAATTCCCAACCCCACAACCTTAGCTTAAGGTTCGAGTCATTTTATTACAGGCCCAAATTTTTCCGTTAAGAATTAAAGCATGCCATTTTACGCTGTCATAATTTCGGATGCAAGTCTTCTACTGTTGCTTCATGGAAACCCTGTTTAAAGAATAAGTTGTCATTTCGTGAAGAATGGTCTGTCTTCTATCTTAATGCATCTGAAAGTTATCAACTCCACAATCTTTGCTTTAAAGCTTTTGTCACTCGATTATAGGCTCGGCTTTTGTCATTGAGAATTATAGCTTCTCAGGCTTCCATCATCTGACTTCTAAATGAATGTATCTTCTTCTGTCACATCATCAGCAAATATTTCTATTGTTTGCAGCTCAGAAGCTTTTTCTCTACAAAACATATTTTCTTTCATTCAGTTGGTAGTTTCAGTGTTTCACAACATACATAAAACTGGATTTGGATTTTTTTACTTCTATTGTTTGCAGCTCAGTAGTTTTTTCTCTACAAAACATATTTTCTTTCATTCAGTTGATAGTTTCAGTGTTTCACAACATACATAAAACTGGATTTGGATTTTTTTTACTGATCATTCAGTACCTTTGCTTCTATATTCGTTTGATTTTGAATATTTTCGGTTTAGCTTTAGAGCCATTTCCTGTTATTTTTTCCTTTGTTTCAAGAACTTTGTAGCAAATTTTTGTGATATTACACCCACATGTTTATTGGATTTTATTCTTTGTTTGTCAGAATCTTTTATGTTGTTTTTTAATGTATATAATTTTCTTTCCAATCAGAATTTAAACTTGTTCTTGAAAAATATTTAATAAAAGTGAGTGTATTCTGTGAAACTCTATTTCCTCTTAAGTTAATATTGACTGAACCTCTAACATATAAATATGTTTCAGTAGTTTTATATAAAATATTGTTTTTAGTTTAAAATAATTAGTCTTTTAAATATGCACGAGAAAAATTAGGAGAAGAAGAAGAAAGGTTATTTGATAATGTAAATTTTTGAGGAAATCTGATATCTGAAAAAGTTAACATAGAAATCTGTTCTGTTAACCAAAAATTTAAACTTTGAGTAATCTTTAGCAGGTGTTCTAAATCTAAATATTTCTGTATTATCTTAAAAACCATAGGTAAATGCAAACATACTTCAGTGCCCCACATTATGTAGCACTCAATGTTTACCCCAATGTAACCCCAAAGAAATGTGAAATTGCAAGGGAATATCACTAAACATTTCCCATAATATCTGTCCATTTTAAACAGAAGTCAAATGATTCAAGATTTTAACAGCTAATTATTGTTTCATTCTAACATTATACAATAAACTGCTCCATATTACTTAAAATAAATTTTAAATTGAAGAGCTATCATATTTATTTACAAACAAAACTTCTGGACCAGTATAAATAGATCACTATCAGTTTAAAATTCTATAGTGATAAATACACTCAACTTCTTGGCTGTGCTCTAACACAAATAAAAGATAGTTCTTGTTCTGTTTATTTACTTCAATGTATTCAGTTTATTTCAGTATTTTATATCAAAATATAAATCAAGAATGGTAGTACTATGTATACTTGGGTAGTATATTGAATCACATTCAAATGCAAATTCAAATAATAATTCTGCTGTGCATGCCAAGAAATGTTTAGCAGTTATGATAGCACATGTAAAAAATGGAACTGATAAAAATATAACCATAGAGAGCAATGAATGAGTAATTACATTAGCATCTGTGTACTATTAGCTTATGTGTACATGTGAAGTTGATATGCATGTTAAGATTTTAAAGTTCCTGTTCCAAAAGACATAAAACCTACTTATAAAAATTTCAATTATTATTATTCAAAGATTTTTTTTCTAAACTGATGTAATATAAATAGAAACTAAAACTGATGCCTCAGTATGTTTTTACATAAATTACAGTTAAAATCCCTATCTGGCATGAAGTTTATTTTAAAAGTTAACCACGTTTATGTGACAATGTCGGTTTTTTATTTCAGGGAACAATATTTGGAACAAACTTCAGAATTTTATGTGAAAGGACAAAACATTGTTCTGACAGAAAGACAAGTAATAAGAGAACTGTTATGGTGAGCTTAGGTTTTTTTATCAAGTGTAAAATGGGTGTAAGAAGCAATTTAATTATGTAGTTGTTTCAAAGTTTGCTTTTAAGTCATTTAATTTTATCATTTTGTTTTAACTTATTTTACAGAATCTCACGTAAATGTGTAATTTGTTATATAATTCTAAGATAAACATTTCATATAATTTTACAAATTCATATTTTACATGTTGTTTTTTTAAATTTTGTGCATTTTGATTTCAGAAATATGTTGCATTGTGTGAATGTGAAGGATTTGAATTTGTACTGAACAATTGTTTGTTAAACCTAACCTCTAGAATTCTCTGCACAACTTTTACTGTAAGTCATTTACATAGCTAAATCTATACCAGTTTACTGTGAATTGATACAATCATGAAAACTGAAGAATAAGGCTATGCTTATAAAAATTACATATAGGATTGTGAACAGTATTCCTTGCAAACAAATGAAATTAAAATTAGTTTCCATATTCCCCCAGTGGACAGTGGTAAGTTTATAGACTTGCAACACTACAATCCAGGGTTCATTTCTCTGCAGTTGACACAGCAGATAGCCCAATGTGTTTTTTTTTCTAAAAAAACAAGCAAACAAATAGTTTACATATTTTTTAAACAAAAATACCAGTAATTTAGATTCAAAATTAAATACATGTGAAAATCAAATAACTATTAATAATGTAGATTATAAATAAATTCAGAGTTTAACTTACATTGTTCAAATATCAGAATTATTATTTGAGTGACTGTACCAAATTAGGTTTCTCATTGGCCAAAATCTTTCCCTAAAACTGAAAATTCTGGATGTTTCTTCAATGTTGTGCCATATATTTGTAAACTAATTAGCATATTTATGTAGTTCCTACAGGCAAACCTTTCTGGATGTAGATATAAGGTTGTTTAAAAATGGATTTCAAGATAATGTTCTTATCCATTTCACAAGTGTTTCTACATCAATCTGCCCACTTGATTGTATCTTAATCTTTCAAACTATTGGCCCGTCATGGCCAGATGGTTAGGGAGCTCACCTCGCAATCTGCGGGTTGCAGGTTCGAATTCCCATCCCACCAAACATGCTCACCCTTTCAGGCGTGGGGGCATTATAATGTGATGGTCAATCCCACTATTCATTGGTAAAGGAGTAGCCCAAGAGTTGGCGGTGGGTGGTGATGACAAGCTGCCTTCCCTCTAGTCTTACACTGCTAAATTAGGGATGGCTAGCACAGATAGCCCTCATGTAGATTTGAGCGAAATTCAAAACGAACAAACTTTCAAACTAATCCAAAAAATTTGCTAAAAACAGAAAGTTGCTATTTTGTGTAGAAAAAACTACAAAATATTGTTTCTGTTTTGTTTGTTTTTGTTATAATTATTAAACTATGCATACATTTTTATTTAATATTAAGTTTAGTGGGTTTACTTAATGGGGAATAGGTTTAGATATTTTGTTGTAATATTTAAATAAATATTCCTTCCACCTTGCACCGATGTAGTTATACTTAACTTATCGACAGAAGAAAAAATTTTAGATTTTGAAATCAAAACAATTGAAGAAAGATTTTCAGTGAATAAATTCTTGTTTAGCATATTGATTCTTTTAAATAAGCTCCTAGAGACTTGGAAACATTGTTTCTGGAACTATCACTTCACAAATTATTGTTATAATGATAAAAATTGAAAAGATAATAGAGAATCATAACAATAATTTTTTTTTTTACCTACTTGCACGATGTATTTTTTATTGTTGACATTTTTGGTATCTTTCATTTCAAGTTTTTGACATTCATTTGTTTTTTGTTCGTATTTTCATACTGTATTATTCATTACAGGATGCTGAGTGGTATTCAAGATCTTTTTTTATTTGTATGGAAAGATAACAGATTTTGTGTGCAAGAAGATGTACAGCTGTCTCACCTGACTCAGGTATTCTTTGATACAGTATGAATATCAAGACAAAAAAAATACGTAAACACGTTATTTACAGTAGTGTTTAACACACCAACAGTAAAATAAATACTACAATTATTTCTCTTAAGTTCAAAAGTAAATCAGCTAATAACAATAATAAATAAAAAGCCGAGGAAATTATGAAAAACTAACAAGCTGATAGAAAATACTCCTGAAAGTGTTGTATAGGCTGCAATAACCATATGCTGGACTTGTTACAATATTGTTTGCTTTCTTTGAAACAGGGATGTCTATCAGCCTTTTTACAAAAATTCTGTGATTATGGAACAACTGTTGTAAAGTTATCCCTGTTTGTGAGGGAAATTTCCTCCTCGTCATCTACTAATCACTGTCCTTCCTATCAAGCTTATGCTGCAGCTCTAAGTCACTTGCTTGGAACTTTTTCGTGTGTTCTAAGAAGATATGAAAAAATATTGATAAAACAAGGTGAGTAAATCTGTCAAATTGCTCACTGTATCAAGTACTTTCATTTCAGAGTTGTGTTTAAAATATTATTACATATCATCAACCCATTTTAATATATTTACTCTTATTTCTGTGTTCATTATTTAACTGAATATTGTTTAATTTTAAACATAATGTGTACATTAGTTATACATTTTGATATATTTCTTCTTAAATATAGGAATTATTTTTTAAGCTAAGATTTCAACAGTTAGTTAATAAAAGCGTAAGAGAAAAATGAATTATCATATGAAGTAAAAAAAGCACATTGAACACATTTAAAAGGTATGAAACTGAATGCTGGAATGATTAATGTTCAAAACTTATCTATTTTGAGAACTGATGAATAATTTAATCTAAAGCCAGTTTATTTATCTTTTTTTTAGAAGAAACTTTGACCTTGAGTATGGTTCTGCACGGACTTCAGAAGTCACTACAAGATATTGCCACATTAGGAAACCTTCATTCCAAAGCAGTTGAAAGTATATCAACAGACTCTCCAGCATGGCATCGAGCAGTCTGTCTTCTTTCAGCAATCTATGCTCAGCTTGATCAACATGATGCTTTACCAAAAGATGAAAATGAATCGGTATGTTCTGAAATATTGAAATCATGAAATATTAGAGTATGCTTCTTTTGTACGTAGTGAACTAGTTACATTTCTCTAGTAAAATGGTAATTTTTATGTTTGAGAAGGGTTACATACCGTAACGGTGTATAGTTATTAATGTAGTATTATTAAACTAGAGGGACACTCAGTAGAGTTCATACTTCTGCCACACAGCATTGATCATATTCAGCCCTTAAAAAATACGAAAATGTGTCCTTGTGTCCATAGTTATCAACAAACACAGACCATTTTTGGCAGGATAAAGAGAAATAATATTCTCTGTATATCCACCAAATTTCATTAAAATCCGATCATTTTTGACTTAGTTACAGGGCAAAAATAGTGTGAAAAATTGGTCCTCATGTTAACAGGTGTGGATTTTTTGGATATTCGGGACCTTGACCTTTGATCTTTCGAAAACTAATCACTTCTAAGATGGGTCATAGTCCAAACGTAAACCAACTTTCGTCCAAATCCATTCAACCATTTTCGAGAAATCTGGCTGGCAAACACACATGCACAGGGGTGAAAACATAACTTCTGTCACCTTAGATGGTGGAGGTAGAAATTATTTGTTGTTCTAAACCAATCTTCTTCCTGACATGTATCATTTAATATATAAAAATAGGAGATTAAATATACATATATATCAGATGTGAAATTATAAAGTTGTAGTGGTCAGATAAAAATCAAGTGAAAGACAAAATAATGTCAATGCAAATAATTCTAGAAGAGCCATCACTTCTACTGAAGTCTGATGTATCATCATCTCTTATAGTGATATTTCAAAAGATTACATTGTAATACCACAAAAAGTACCAGATATTAAATCAAAAGGAATACAAAAACTTCAGAAAAAAATGAAGCTGACAAATAAACTCTTGAGTTTATTCCCAGCATAATACGATTTACAAAGACAATTACAACTAATAAGAGGATTTAAATATAGATAACTCAGGAAAAACTAATAATGGTAATCAAACCATCATTAAAAACAGGCCTTTTTTGATCTTAAATATTTCTGAAAAACAATCAGTGGTAATTAAGCCTTCATTAAAAAAGTGGGCTTATTAGCACAATATTTCTGAATCAAAAAATCTTATTAAAACTAGCAGAAACGTCACCCTACAGGTGGCTGTTTTTGCTAGTAATTACTGATCATAGTATTCATACTATGTAGAAAAAGTAAACATTTTCTAAAAAAAAAATTATTTTTTTTCTGGGAAGTACTGCACGGGAAAAGTGTTCAGATTGTGCTCTCTAGTCATATGCAACTCATTGAATTAAAATGATTCAATGTACAGAGCTCAAAAATTTTACTGATATAAACTATGTTTTTATATATATTAAAAGTGGTACCATATGTTGAAAAAATAGTTTTCTCAAGAACTCCAGTTTCTTGATCAGTACTACATTTAAAAATTACATCAATAAAGGCCTAGTATATGAATGAATGTTCTCAAATGATGATAATGTCATCAAAGTTGAGCAGGTCAAAACGTATAAAGTACATTTATCATCTTTAGATCCATAACATACAATTACTTAATAACAATGTGTAACCAGAAGTTTGATCATTTTTGTTTCACATTTCTTGAATGAATTAAATTGTTTTAAGTGCAGTTTTTTTACAAATTTTCGAACACAATGATAAAGTTTCTTGACTACATTTCCATACATACAAAGTGAATATATCTGAAGTGTAATCAGAGTGGAATAGTTTAATTTGTGTGTTCAAATAATTTAAAAAAAATAGTTCAAGCACTATTCAAAACTATTTTATTAGTTATAAATTCAAACTTATTTCATTCTGTTGTCGTGTAGTCAACTTACCTGAAGTTTAACTGAACCAAGCCTCGTTAAACAAACAAGTTGACCATGTTCTATAAATATAGATTGTGCATTCTAATAACATTAGGATGCAAAAAAAACAAATTTTTTTTACAATGAAAATTAATCACGCACAAATACAATGTAGAAATACATCTTATTTGAACACAAGGCTTCCCAAAAATGTTATTACATGGAAATTTACAACACTGCAGTATGTTTGAGTGACTCCTTATAATCATCTGGTTTGAAGTGACTTTTGCATAATGTATCATGAGCACCTGGGATTCCGAGGGTGTTTGCTGTCTGGAGACACATGGTTTATAGTTATTTTCCACTTCATTTAAGGTCCAATATCCTTCAGAACTTGATGCCCACCAGTCTTGCTCTTACAGCTCAGTGTATATCTTCAGAAATTTTGCCTTTGTGAATCTAAATATGTGCACACAAAAACAAGGTGCAGTGAAGTATAAAGTAGATCTCTGTAGCACTTCCGTAGTGGCTAATAAGCCAATCAGAGCCATTTTTAGTCACTTCTTAACATTTTATTTGTGTTTATCAATTATTTACAAATACTTTTTTTTTCAATGAAGGCAGAATTACTTAAAATGTTTATAAGAAGTGAAGTAATCAATAATATTTCATTTTTTAATAATTCATTTGAGTTATCTGCATTTAAAGTATAAAATCAAATATATATACGGTGTATTTTGAAAATACATTGTGTTTTATATATTCTTGTGATTACAGAAAAACATTATTCTTTTACTTTTCCTCCACACTTGCCAACCATACATGAACTACCTGGAAGGAATAATAAGTAAGAACCACTCATTTACGGACCCTGATGAAGAGTTTATAATATGCAGGTGATTGGTTTATTCTCTAATAAAATAATAATCCAAGTTATTGTTTTCTCAGTAAATTAATATCTTGTGACAAAGGTAATTTTTATTTGAATTATGTTTTAACTTTTGATTGGTTGATTTTGTGTATGTTTTTACTCACATGATTCAGGGGTAAGAATTTTTTTTTGGGGGGGGGGAGGATTTTTCAATTTTCCATCTTTGTTTTCAGAATAAATCTAATTGAGCTGATTATGAAAATGACCATAGCACTTTTCAGAACAACTTTGTATGAAAAACTTTTATTGGTCTAGTACTTATCTTCACT